GCAATAAGGTGGTATGATATTTTTCTATTCCCTTTCACGGGGAAAACTTAAGAAACTTGATTGTTCTGATTAAATTTCTGAGTCTTATTTACTTAAAATGAATCATGGTAACAGGCCCCTTCTTAAATCCATCTTCTCCTGTCACTTTGTGCTGGTTTTGACTGGGATGGAGTTAATTTTCTTTATAGTAGCTGGTATGGAGACATGTTTTGGATTTGTGCTGAAACCAGTGTTGATAATACAGTCATATTTTTCTTATTGCTGAGCAGTGCTTGCATGGTGTCAAGGCCTTTTCTGCTTCTCACACCACCCCACACTGGAATAATTTTACTTTTCGTCGTATACCTTGTTTTCCTTACCGTTTGTGGTCTGTCTTTGAACTCTTAAGTTAGCTGTTGTCACTGAACCCAGGAATGCTCACAAGCCTACAGTCTTTCTTCTTTCGAGTCCCTTGGCAAGAGATGTATATTCACAGAGACTGAAGAGGGTAGGAGATTGTACATTAGTATATAAACTCAGTTCATAATTCCCAGTTTCAGTTTTTAGTTGGTACCCCTTGAACTGTGTTTGTGCTTTCAGCTGGGGAGTGTTTTCAATCATCTGCTGCTTTTCAGTGGAGTTTCTTGAAGGAATAGTTTTCCGTAACAGTTGTGTTTATCCTCTTTGATAACCACCTGTCTTAGCAGACCTAATTCTGATTGCTTTTTTGTTGTCATTAATTTGTTTGGCATTCCTCGGGTGCACAAAGAAAGTGACAGGATGGAAACCCATCAGACAGAACAAAGCTACTGCTTTGTTCAAGTACTTTAATTTTCCTGCCCTTCATTTTCCTCTAAGACAATTTCTTTGTCAAGAGAACAACCATCTCTTTTTACTCATCTTTGGAGTCCTGTTTTACTGGGCTGCCCACTCTAATTTTTCTGTTGTGATGTCTATACATATTTTCATTTATTTTTTAACTCTAGAAGACAAAACCTCTCCTGCAGAACCAGGTACCATGCTGGCCAGAAAACCTTTTTTTCTGTGTTCCTTTTTTTTTTCCTTTTATACTATTATAACTGATACAAACTTTTAATGAAACCCTTGGCCTTGAAGACTAGAAAATAAAGTATTTGACAATGTGGGGAGAAAACTAATGAAGATAAACTGCTTTTTGTCTCTTCTTGTAGCTATGATTCTCAGACGTGTGTACTTACACACCAGCAAACAAAAATATTAGTGTGTTGGACTTGGTAATCTACTTCTAATTGAAGCTTTGTGTCAGTATAATTAACATTTAGGAGATTAGTGCACTCCATGCTTCTGTAAATGTACAGTAACTCTCCCTTATAATATATAGTGGATGGATAGCTGTGCCGATCCAGAGTCTCCTAGTGAAATACTCACAGCTGCAATAATAGTGGTAGTGAAACCATGAGACCTTTAACAATGTTACTACCTTTCAGTTGTCCAGTTGATGTAACTCTTGCTTGAGGAAAATTAGCAATATTTTCATCAAGCTTTGTGGTGAATAAGGCTCCTCTTAGTTCCTTATAGGTGTTTTACTTTACAATGAAATTTATTACTACTGATCTGTGTTGGGGTGAATATTTTTAACAACTGTGTATAAAGTCAGAAAAAGCGAATGTTGTTCCATCTCAGAAGTAAAACCTCCAATACGGAAGATACTTATGCTTTTATTAGCCAGCAAAAGTAATATAGAGTAATAATTAATGTAATGCTGTGCAAAATGCAAACATATTAATGTTAATTGTGGGGACTGCCCAACTTATGATTTTTCTGTTTATCTTTAATTTGATTCCTTTAGCTTTTCAGTGGCTTAATCCTGACCACACAAACAGATTACAGTTTAGTTTTATTGTTGTTGTTAATGAAAACGAATCTGTCTACGGGTATAGAAATTGCTGGATTTAGTGGATATGGCCCCTTCCTAACAAAACTCCATGAATTAATGTTTCTGAAAATTGTGGTCTCTAAATTGACACCTTTCAATTCATGTTTGATGTGAGCTTTTTTACCTGAAAGTTATGGAGATGTGAGAGTAGTGAGTCTGTACCTCCTGCCTGTGAAAATTTAGGTCTTCATTAAACAGGTTGAGTAGTTTTGGCACAATACGCATTGGTAAATATTCCCTTGTTTCTAGTCGAAGGCTGAGATCTTCTATACCTGTTCTGCTTTGTTAAATAACTTTATTCTCTCACAGGTGTTTGGCTGAAGAGAGCTTTCATATCTCTTTTGACACAGAAAGTATATCTTATTTATTTGAATAGCTAGATTCTTCCACTATCTTCTAGTTTCAGTTTCCTTACTTCAGTTTTCCTCCAGTGACAGTGATGAAGGTAACGCCTTATCAAAGCATCAAGTTATCAAATGCTTAATCGTCTGCTGCTGTGCATCTATAGCAGCTTATTTCTTTGTAAATAAATCCTACATTTTTAAAGACTTTAGTTTGGGTAATGGAAAACTCACGGTAGAACTCACGGTAGACTTGAGTGAGGTCTGAAGGTTTAGATTGATGCCTTTGGGATTATTAGAATAAGGAGCCCATTCATTTGTTCATTCACGAATCCTTCTAAATCAGGTTTGGCTTCTCTTCTGTGAGAGTCTGTGTATTTTTGTAAGTATTAAAACTTTGATTTCATACTGAGCAAGAGAATGAAAGAGAGGAAGAACATAGCAAGTGAGGATGAAAAGTCTTTTCAGAAAAAAAGCCCAAAGACTTGTTGATACTGGACAGCAAAGCAGGAAACTACATGTGTCATAAAAGGCTCCAGCTTGTTGGATAAAGGCTGAAACTCAGGATGTAGTCTATAAATACAAAACAGTTTCATAAAAATATTTTTAAAATGCAGTTCTGAGCACTTTAGAGAAGAGAAGCTGACTGATAACTGTTCAGCTACTTTAATATATATATTTATACAGATGCATGCACACATATACATTCATAACATACTTTCATCTGTAAACATGAATATAGTCAACTCAGTGATAAGTATTTCCCATAGGAGACTGGTAACATTACTAGCACTAGATGTAAATTTGGGAGCTACAGACCATATTCTTTGCAGATTCTAAACCAGCAACTTAGTGGAGAAATAAAAAGGAAGGGAGTCCAATTTCAACAGGCAGAAGGGAAAGAATTTGTGAAGCTGAATATTTGCCTACACAAAAAGTTGTGAACTTCTTTTTCCCCAGTATTTTGTCGCAAGTTTTTCTTTTTAAGCATTACATCTAACAGCCTTCTGGGGATTTTTGGGATGTCTTCTATCCTGACCAGTTGATAGTTGTTGAAATTTTCACTCAACTTGGAAATAAGTGTTTGTACTTGAACTTGCTGAAGCTGTTGGCCAAGAAATACGTCTGGAACAGATTTACTAGCTGCAATTAATGACCACATTCACTTTTTTCCCCTCTGACTTGTCAAATATGAACTTTCAGGGATCTCAAACTACGAGTTGCTACATCCTTTTGCTTGCAAAGTTGCTTTCGTTTTTAGACTGAAATGAGTGTTGTTCAGAATTACTGAGTAAAGTACAGTAATTTGGAATATCAGAAAAATTTGTAATAATACAAGAGTATTTTTTTTTCTTACCATGTTTTAAATTTTTTTTTCCTTTACTGAATACCAGAATAACAATACTACAGCAGGCCTGTAATAACGGAGTAGCTGTAATGCTACGTCACTCTGAATATGTTTATGCCTTCATTTTTCTCTTGTTATTATTTCTAATTTGTAAGCATTTACATGAAGATACCCATCTCTCTGAAATCCCTCCATTGTTGCCCATTTCTCTTGTACCAGTTTCAAAGGCAGCCAGTGTCCCAAGATGAGACTTCATCCACCCACCCAACACAAACAAACCCAGTTGTACTCATGTCAAGACCCAAACTCAGTCAAGTTCCCTAAAGACTGGGAGGGAGGAAGCCCAAAGTAATTGATATCTGACAAATATTGCTGCCTGTTGGTGTGTTAACTGTATGAGACACCTGTTTTCTTGAATTCGTGCTTAAACATTTTTCGCACATATTTTTGAGATTTTTGTTAAAGGAACCCCGTGTTTCATCACATGATCTGTGACCTGATTGCAGTCCTGTTTCTAGAGTGAATAGCTGATTAGAAAACTAAAATAATTGAACAACTGAAACTGCTCAGAATGGTTTGCTTGAAAGAAGCTGCTGTGCCATCTGCTTGTGCCACTAAGGGTGCTTGATCACATACTGTCAAATAAAAGCAAACCCTAGAAATCTCATGTACCCTACTTTTCTGTATGATTAGAGCTGATCTTACCTCAGGTGGCATTTTGAGAAAAAGAACATAAACAGGGATTTAGGTCATGTCTTGTAACCTACCAAATTCTGTATGGTTGTTTTGCATGTGAAAAGCAGTGGTGAAACACATTAATTTCAGGAAGGCATTCTTGTTATCCTTCCCTTCTGATGGAAAAATTTAAGGATTTTTACTTTTAATTTTTCTGAGCGTAAGACAGTGTTCTGGAGTGGATATTTAACAAGGACTGGTTTGTCAGCTGGATGGAAGTCATGTGCAGGGAGATTTGCAGTCTGTGTTTCTTGCCTGTCGTGGCACAGCACTCTGCAACTTCCCTGAGAAGATGTGATGTGTCACATTTGTTCTGTTTGCTCTGAAGCATTCCCAGTGCATCTCTCTGACAACATGGGGAAAATAATGACATGAGAGAAATTCAGGATTGATACCTATAGGTCACCTGTGAAACTTCAGAGCTTGGAGATTATGCTGTTAGGACTGGCAATATAAATGCTAGAGACCATCTACAGCTGACTGGATGTACAGCTGTCCGGTACTGCTGACTACCTGTTTGCAGGCTTTCAGTCTCCAAATGAAGATGAAGGGTTCTGATTTCTGAAATTTACATTGTCTAAGCCAAAGTTCAACCTTTCAGGACCCTTGTCCATTTTCAAACTGTGGCTTTGATGATGCACAATGATGAAGCTAAATGCCTTCTCTGTTGCTGTGTCTCCAGGCATTGTTACAGGGAGCCTCTGGGAGTTCCAGGGTGAAGAGATCTTCTTCATCTGGAGACCTCTGCTAAAGGTGAAGACCTTCTAACAGGCCAGACAGCCTTAGCAGGACTCAGAAATCATACATCAAGGTAAAACAATTCATTTTTCAAGCAAATTGAATTGGCTGATACAATTTTCAAAATAAGGATTTTTTTTTTTCTTGCTAAATAAACACAGAAATACATCTCTGAGCTTTCTCCTTTTGTGTGTATTCCTCCTTGCTACCTGCTACAAATGTTGTAGTAGCGAATGCTGGAGTGGGGTGAGTGGGAGACAACATAGTGCATTGTTGATTAGAGCCAGAAGTAACTCCTTATATTATTAGTAAGAAGATATATTTGCAGTTCTTTGTTCACAATGGAACAGGCTGTTTCTGAACTCTACAGCACGCTCTGTTTTTAGAAACATATCCCACTTTAATTGTGGTATTCAGAGCTCACTTTGGCCACAAAAATATGAAAACACACTCTGATATCTTCAGCAATGGGAGAAGGACAAGGTTTGCATATCATGAATTTCTGTTTATCAGCACTGTAGTTATTTCTTAGTATGGTCATCCAGAACCCATTCTTGCTTGTAAAGGACAAATGCTGATGGAAGAAAAAGAAATGTGACCCCAAGAACTTTTTTGAACCTATAAATGCTACAGTCCCAGGCACTCTGGGAGATTTAACTATGCTATGGCTTTGTTAGCTTGCCAGGATTTTGAATGTAGTGATGATATATGCAGAATCTTTCCTTCATACTGACAAGATTAATTGAACTTTGTGTAGAGAGTTGGCTGAAAAAAGTGAGTAGTAGTCGAAATGTTTTCTACCTATTTCTTCAAAATTAAATGTAGGTACTTCTAAAGGTCTGCCAACTTCTCTATTTTTTAAAAATAGCTGTTGCAAGGTGTTAACTTCACTGTTGGAAAGCTTCTTAAATAAATATTTCTTGATTCATCCAAAAAGAATTGCAGATTTTTGTAGTTAATCCTTTATTGATCTTTCTAATTTAGGCTGAAATTAGAGCTCTGAACTAGAACAAAGTTCATTGTCCTACCATCCGTAGAGTAAATCAAAAGTTTTGCGATTAGCACAATCAGTTTTTCAGCTCATAACCTTCCCTTCTGATCTGCTGTACATGCCTGGGAGTCAGACCACCAAGCACATTTAGGCCCCCTCATCCCTTTGTTACACCATGCCCTTTCTTTCTGCTTCTCAGTTCTTTGATTTCAGTTGCAACTGTGTTTCTCCAGTCTACTGGCAAGGTCATCTTGAACAACTGAGGATGCTCATTATTCAACTGAGTATTCAAACCTTCACAGAACAGCAAAACTGATGATGATGATTATACACTGATTTCAAACTGAAGGAAAAAACCCAATCCAGAAATACTTATCTCCATAATGTTTCCTTTTGTTACATCTGCTTTGGGAGTACAAGAGACAATGCAAGTTGAGATAACCATGGACTAAAAAAATATAGTATTTCTTCTGAAAGTTATTTAAACGTTTATTTATTTTAAAAGTCCAGTTTTATGCATTGAGAGAGTAAAGACTTCCTAGAAAGTATCCTTATAATCCCATGGGCTGCATGGATGTATCTAAGTGGGGTGATGGTGGTTAGGTTTCATGTACAACAATGTTAGTGTACTGTCAGTGCACAGCATCCAGGATTAAAATGCAGCCTTGAATGCTGTCACTGCTTCCAGCAAGGCAGTTTGTTCTGTGCCTTTCTGTCTCTTGTTTCCCTTTGTTGAAGGGGTTTGTTGCTAACCAGAAACACATTATATGAGACAGCCAAAAGTTCTGGTGAAAATCAAGAACAGTTCATAGCCATGAAGATTTTATATTTGCCCTAGATTCTTTTTTTTTTTTTTTTCATTGATGCAGCTTTAACTGTTGTTGTAAATTATATAAATAATTGATCAAGGAGTTCTTGTTACCTCAAATAATGTTATGCTTATTGCTTCTCATAACTGTGCTGCTCTTTGTTGTGCTACAGCATAGCTCATACCCTGCTCTGTGTGTGTGGGTTTTATTCCCTTAAAATTTTCTTCTGCTCCCGACCCTTTGCTCTTCCCCTCTTCCCCCTTCCTGGCAAGAACATGTTGTTTCTGCTTCAGTTTATTCCATGATTTGACTGAAAAGCGAGATCTTTTTTAATCAACAGCAACACATTTAAAAAAACCTCCACAGCCCTGGGAACTGTGCAGTGCGCACATCTGTTTTCACATAAGCATGAATTGCTGGCTTTACAAACACGAAGCATGTAGTCCTTGCCACAGACTTAGCTAAAGTGTTCTGTAACTTGAGACTCTATTTGAAATAAAAACAAAATTGTATAGCTTCTTTACCATACTAATGGAAAACATTTAATTTACTTCTTCAAGCCAACCAAAAGTATGACGCAATGCTGCTCAAGCAGATTTACAGTGCCTTTTCTTCCCTGGAAATCAATACAGCTTGGAAGTGCTGTTATGGGAGCTGGCTAGTTGACTGCGATCCAGCTGCATTCAAATGTAAACTTCTGTACCGCAAACCAAAACTGGTGATTTTGATTTATTCAGGCATCACTCTGTCTTTGAGATACTATGGTGTTGGATTTTATTCTTTGTTTTATTGCCGTTAATGTTAGGTTGAATTTCAAAATAGGTAGTTCAGTGGGTTTGTGATTTTTTTTTTTTTTTAAATCATTCAGTGATTTTCTACATTTCCTGAATTAAAGTACTTAGGTCTGTGGTAGTGATATCAGCAGAAGCAGATCTATGTACATGGCCATGTGTGCCTTTCAGTGGAGTCTTTTTTCCCTTAAACAAAAAAATAACAGTACCAAAAAAACAGGCCTCCACTCAGTGTGAGCATTAAGGGCTAACATAATCGTTTTCCACTTTGTACAGACTAAGCTCTGAACATTAAATGTTGTTTGATTTTTCTCCCGCTAGAAGAGGCAAAATGGAACAGTGTTCTTTAACTGAGTCCAAAATAGTTTTTAAAACAGAACTATGGAGTTTATTTAATAAGTGAAGCCAACAGTGCAGATTTTCATAGTGCACAAACTTTTATGCCTTTGTTTCCTTTCCGATTCCTCACTGCTTCCACTAATGGTTTTGACTTTATTTCAACTCTCTGCTGTAAGAGGCTGTTGGTGTTTCTCTCCTTATTTTTTACCTTAATGGGATTTCATCTTTTCTAAAATAGCCCTTAGAATGGGATCCCTGATGCTGCCTTGCTCCCTAGATGTATTTCTTTGGGAAGTCTGTCACTGATGGCCTGTGTGCTGGTCATGCTTACTTCTACCAGAAGAAAAATCATGACTTGATACCTGCCTGCTAGCTTGCCAGAAGTATATTGCATCTTTTTTTAAAAAAAGAAAAGTTCTACTTCCGTTTCTTACGTAAATTAGATTCTTTTCTTTTTTTAAACCTCCATTCATTTTTCTCTTTCTTATATATAACAATCTCCCGGTGAAGAAAGAGCCTGAGAAGATAATGTAGACGAATTGAGATCCTTTTTGTAGGGATAGCTTGGGATGTTGTGGGTTAGCGAAGAGGAAGATGGGGATTTGAGTTGTGTGGGAGTCTGGGGTTGGAGGTTTTTTGGAGTTTTTTTTTCTTGAGATGAATACAATGAAGATGAGAAACAATGTTGCTGATAGCTGCATTATTTTCTTTGAAAAGGCTACCATATGAGACTTGATAGAGAAGTACATAGAATCCAAATTACAAATGTTAATGGTTTGGTTTATTTGGAGGAAAAAAGTGAAAACAGAGATTTGTACCAAATTTCAGTGCAGTTTCAAACATTCTTTAATACAATTTTGTAAATTTTCAAACTACTGAATAGTTTTACTCGTGGTATAAATTCTGATTTTTAAAGATGCATAGAGTGGGAGAACGTATGGTGACAGTGTGATTATCATGTTTTCTATTAAATATAAGGACAACATATATCCAGTTGCTTCTAACTTAGACATAAGAAAGATTTCAGCTATTAGATATTGCCCAACAATCTTCAACAGCTTAAGTTTATTCTCTGAAATGCTTCCTGAAGATGGACAAAATGCCTCATTTAATTGGAGTGGCAAATCTGGATCTTTGGTGTTTGTACAATCATAAATGTCTCCCTGGCTGTTATTTGGGAAATAATGTCTTGTGTTGCAGCATATCAAATTACCAGAGATACTGCCCAGCAAGGGCATCTTTCAAAGGAATGGTGTTATAAGGAACAACGCATAAATCTTTAGAAGAAGAGACATTCAACCATTTCTACTCAGACTATCTAAGTGAAACAGAAATGCAGTTAAATTCAACAAACAGGCTGACACATTTTGGCAATATGTTTAGCCCATAGGTTTTCTGTTTGACTATTCCAAAATTCTTGTTAGTGTGAAAGGTCTGTCATTTAGCTTTCCTTTTGCCATTTTCTCTATACTAGCACTGGCAGTCCAGGCTGGCGTATGCCATAAAGACTTTTAAAGCTACACTTTGAATAAAGCTTACATTTACTACAGAATATTTGCTTTGCATGGTTACAGTACAAGCACTGTGTTCCTGTGTAAGCACTGTAATGAAGTTGTTAAGAAGAAACACTTATAGCATTTGCACTAAAGTTCATGGAGCATGAGATAGCTGCGCTGAGGATGCTGGTACTTGGAAGGAATTAAAAAAAGCTTCTCAGAAATAAACAAAAATAACATTCTCAGAGTAGCAAAACAGTATGCAGGTGATGAGAATAAAAGCACTAATTATTATGTAGAGAATAACCTCACTTGAAATGCCACAATGTGATCCACTTTATGATCTGACTTTCCTAAATACGATTTGAAAAGCAGGAAGAAGTACAGAGCATGACCTAAAAATGGTAGTCTGGAAGCTTCTTTAGGTATGTTGGGTCTGAAATGTAGTTTTTCCTCTTGAGTCAAACCTGAATAAACTGTTTTGGGTGTTCATGTTGTCCTTATGGTTCCAGCTCTGCCAGGCATAGCTATTGCTACTTTATTTTAAGAATTACTTGGAATTTGAGTCCTGCTGGAAACAGAATGTTGTCAGGAAGATGCAGTCTTGCTGTTAAGAAACTTAAATAAGATAAGGCTAATCCTATTGT